CAGACCAGGTGAGACCGGATCAGATTCTGTGGTAAAGGGCCAGCTCACCCAAAACATAAACATAAAACTTGGACTTCCTGTCGATGGATTCCACATGGAGGAAGTTACAGAAGTTGTTTATTTACTACAGACACGACCAGGGCTTTGTGTGAAAAATAACAAAATGTCAATGATGTATTTATTTATATCATATGTCATATTTACAAAGATACTACCAATAATCTGCATAAATTAGGAACAATTACTCATGATGCATTGTGTTGTTGGTTTGTGAGAAAATGAGCCAATCAAATTCCTAAGAAGTTGAGTGAGTTTGTGATGATGACGATGATGCATTAGGTCCATTCATACGATGTCGGGTTGTGTTTGAGTCAAACTTAATGAGAATAAGCCTCATTAAATGCAGTTAGTCCTTCAAATACTTCTCATCATTTTATAAATATCGTGCCTTAAAATGATTATTTTTTCTCCCAATCAGTCGATGTTTTTAGCAGCAGAATCAAAAGAATCCACAACGTTCACATCTCCACGTCTCTTGTACCTCTGTGCGTGTCTGTCGTAAAGTTTAATTTTAAAATGAATAACACAATCTCAGCTCAATAGTTGCTGCTTTTAAAAGCTTGAGATGCTTTTGACACCTGAAACCTTCATGATTTGTTAAAAACGATCTTACTACTGAGAACTGTGTTTCCATCGGTCATTAATTTCTTTATATTTGGACTCTGCAGACTCATCACATTGAACAATCGTTCGTAGTCAAACCCTCACTGACGTTCTTCCTCCTCTAGATACGTGAAGACGACCGCCAACGCCACAGTGGACCACCTGTCTAAGTACCTGGCTCTGCGCATCGCTCTGGAGGAAGGACTGACCAACGGGGAGACGGAGGACAGAGGACGGGAGGAGACGAGAGGAGGAGGAGAGGAGACGGGAGGAGGAGGAGGAGAGGGCTCGAGTCTGAGGAACATCAGTGAGAAACAGTACACCATCTACATCATGACGAGAGGAGGACAGTTCTCTGTGAGTGACTAGCAAGCTTTACCTTTAGATGTAAGGGTTCTCCGGAGAACGCAAAGGGTTCTCCGGAGAACGCAAAGGGTTCTCCGGAGAACGCAAAGGGTTCTCCGGAGAACGCAAAGGGTTCTCCGGAGAACGCAGGTTCTTATCTGTGCAGGTTCTTATCTGTGCAGGTTCTGAGGTGTGTTTCTTTCCTCTCAGACGCTGAACGGCTCTCTGACTCTGGAGTTGGTCAACGAGAAGTACTGGAAGGTGAGGAAGCCTCTGGAGCTCTTCTACGCTCCCACCAAGGAGCAGCAGCAGCAGCTGGCACAGAAGTCTCCCCCCACACAGACACAGAGGGAGGGGTGAGGGGGGAGATCCACTCCTTCTGAAGCTGGAAGGTCACGGCTCATTATCAGCGCAGCTTTTTTCCGGCATTAAGATTTGATTACGTTTTTGAAGGATTTACATGGAAGAAGAAAAAGATATATAGAAACCACTGAATAGCAGCTTCTGTGGTTAATAAGGCTTCATGTGACGATAATAATCCGTTATTATAAACCAACACTGGGCGATGGACCTGCAGATTTCAAACAAAGACTTCGTCCTCTTGTTTCAGTTTGAATATGTTATTACCTAAAGAATACTCAACGATTGCAAACGTTTAAAAAGTCTCCACATCTGGAAATCTGAAATTGTTTTAGTGCAGGTGAAAAAAAAAGTCCTGATTCTGAAATACACACTTTACTTTAATCTCTTATCAACACATTTAAACAGAGGACACCAGCTTCAGCCAGGAGGGAACAAGTCCACTTCACTAAAATCATGTTTTGGGTCCAAATGTACAATATTTGACATTTCGTCATAATTATAGAATATTAAGTTGCAATTTGTAGGTGACAATATGGAAGTTCTGGACTCGCTCTGCTGGTTTAATCGCTTTAAGACTTTAGTCTCTTTCTGCAGTAAGATCAAAGACAAAAAAAAAAAAAAAAGTTCAGTAACTTCAATCTGTTTATGAAATCTTTTGCATAATTTCATTTCTAAGAAGGTGACTGAAGCTCTTTGCTGCTCATGGTTCACCGTTTCCTGTCTAAACCTTTAATGTTTAACGAGGTTACACAACGTTCAGTCATTCCCGATTCTTTTTAAACTGCCTATCCCAGCATGCACTGGGGTAGGACTGCATATTTTAGGAGCAATATTTTAGATGGTTTAAAGTTGGTTTTATTCCTGAGTTTTAAAGAAGTGTCGGCTCTGTTACACGTTAGCGCTGTAGCAGCCGCTCTGCATGAGTTCCTTTAACTGTCCACAGGGTTTCCTCCCAATAAGCCATAAGTCTCATTTCCGTGTATACGCACTTTATTTCCTGCAGCCATATAAGTTCTTAGCTTACCTCAGTCTCTATGAAATATTTGTATATTAAGAACAATATTTCCCTTTTCTTCTGTTGTATAATTAAACTCGTCAGCCATGCAGCACAATAAAACTATAAAACACAGTTTGGTTGGAAATACTTTCCATTGATCTGCTCTTCTGGTTTATTCTTCCTACACATTAGTTATTGTTTTCATCTTAAAAACAAGTGAATCAGCACAAACACATTTTGAACGGTGGCATTTTATTGAAAACAAAAAGTGAAGCAGAGTTTACTTCTTCTTGGACACGCCGACGGTGCGACCACGACGCCCGGTGGTCTTGGTGTGCTGACCGCGCACACGCAGACTGGAAGGAGAGAAGAAGAAGACGGTTAATACAAGAATAATTCAGCTGAACATCATCTAACAGATAATCAGATGCTACTTTCACTCATGTTGACCAACTGAACTTTAAGACTCCTGAATAATGGAGCTGATTATATTTACTTATAAAAACGCTTTGGTCGCCGTACCTCCATGTTTAGCGGTCGGTAGCATCTTAAATAGGACAGTAAATCTAACATGGGACAGTTTAATGAGGACGAGATGCACAGACTCCACTTTAGACTGAATAACCGGCGGTCTTACCCCCAGAAGTGCCGGAGACCCCGGTGAGCCCTGATTTTCTTCAGCCTCTCCAGATCTTCTCTCAGCTTGTTGTCCAGACCGTTAGCGAGGACCTGAAAACAGCCGAGAGACGCTTTTGTCATTTCACACGTGAAGAAAGCAGCGGAACCCCATTCATGTTCCGTTATTCATCTGCTTCAACACATGCAACAGGAAACAAATCCTCTAAATCCACAGAACACGTTCAGACGCACGAGGAAAAACAAAGTCATCCGACTGATAAATGTCTTTAAAGTTATTATTCAGTCACATCTGTACACGTAAAGACTAACATCTGCTCATATAACTCAACTTTCTATGTTTAATGTAACGTTATCCTAAAGACTTGATGGAGAAGGTTTTACATTAGCAAGACGGTGGTTTTGGGTCGACATGTGCTTCAGTGGCGGTCACCTACCTGGCTGTATTTGCCGTCCTTGACGTCCTTCTGCCTGTTGAGGAACCAGTCGGGGATTTTGTACTGGCGAGGGTTCTGCATGATGGTCACCACACGTTCAACCTGAAACACGTGCGCAGACTTTAAAACACACGACACACTGCAGCGTCTACATGGTCTGGAGGCTTTAAACGAGATGTGGGACCCCTCTACAGACCCCAGACCTCCTCACCTCATCATCAGACAGCTCTCCGGCCCGCTTGTTGAGGTCGATGTCGGCCTTCCTCAGGACGACGTGAGCGTAACGTCTGCCAACACCCTGACACGAGACAGACGTCAACAGTTATTATACAACAAGATGAATGTCTCAAAGAAACTCTCAGATGAAGAACCACCCATCAGGTCCAGTCTCAGACGGACAAACACAACGTTACTATAAAGAATGAGTGCACGTTAACCTTTGCACACGGCACCGCTCCACAGGAAACCTCACTCACCTTGATGGCAGTGATGGCGAAGGCGATCTTCCTCCTGCCATCGATGTTCGTGTTGAGAACACGGAGAATGTGCTGGAACTTCTCAGGAATGACCAGAGACTGACAACACAGAACAAAAAACACTTCAGCTGGGGGTGAAAAACATCTGCATTTATAATAGATGTTGAAAAAAAGATGCCCATCTGGATCCTCTGGGAAAGTCTAAATCTAGAAGCATCAAAAGCTGCTGAAAACCAAAGCTTGACAAGAGATTTAGAGCTTAACTTAGTAACATCATTACAGGGAAACATGCTACTACTGGTGTTGCTAGTGTAACACCAGAGTTCAGCCTAAATGAGTGCTCACACGTGATATTTACTCTTCAACACGTGTCTTACAAAAGGTGTTGGGTCTTAGTAGTTAAAGTGGGTCAAATACTTTAAAGTATAGAATCTGTGCACCTGCAGCTAACATTGTTGGCTCCAGTTAGCACAGCTACTGGAGCTGTTGCTAAGCTAACTCAACAAACTTTAAAACGACTCAGACAAACTTCACAAAACCGAAACTCGGGGCTGCTCAGCATTTCAACTGACCCGGCTACACGTGCGTCTTCATCGGCGTAACGTGGACTTTTCGTCCACCCAGCCTGGTGCTATGAGCTCAACATGCTAACACTTTGCTATTGGAAAGTATGAAGCTAGTTAGCTGTAGACCGTCCATACACCTCAGCTCAGCACTGACAGTAAACGGCGTTAATATGCTTCATTTCGGACTAATATCCCAACAATTCAACATCTCTCTGCTTGCACAAACTGTACAGAATTTATTTAAGGTTAAACGATAATAAAAAAGACAGATCAGCGGTAGATGATTAAAGATTTCAAACCTATATCGAGGTGACAGAAAATGTACTCACCATCTTGGAAGTAGGTTCCGAGCGAAGAGGAAGCCGCTAAGTTCTCGCGAGAGTTTGAATGTTATGGTTAAGCGGAAGTCAGTCCATCACTTTTAATCTGTCCGACGAGAATTTATTTTAACACCGGTTAAATTAAACAAGCAATTATAATTGCAACGTCAACGTAATCACACAAAAAAAAATATGAACTATTTTGCGTTTATTTGTCTCACTTACTTTAAAGTCACATTAATATCTTGTTCTTAAACTCAACGACGCTTCTTCGTTCTCGGTGACAACGAGGCGGAACCTCTCTTTCTTTTCTTTATAACGTCAGTGTAAATTGGCCGTAATGGCGGAGGTAGCTGCTGTAGCCGTCGGAGCTGTTCTCGATGTAAACACAGCTGGAAACACGACGGACATGATGGCGTATTTACACGACGAGGTGACGTCTGAGTACTTGTGTTTAAATCTTTAATTGTAGTGAAAGAATATTAAAATATTCAACTGTTCATGCGCTCCTTTCATTCCTGTATATCCTGTTAGCATTCAACAACAAGAGGCTGACTATCAATGAACTGTAACTTTACATGAAAATAACAATAATAATTTGCAGTAAATAAAGTCTTTCAAAATTATATATCCATTTAGCTGGAAGCTAATATAACTGTTAGCATCCTGTCAAAACACTGAGCAGCTCAGTGACTTCCTGAATGTAACACAGTTCAACGTCACTGGTGTTTATTATAATAATAATAATAACTTTATTTATATATAGACAAAAGCAGCAAAATCAAAGCAATAATAACAGAAAGATCAGTGAGACAGTTGATAAAAATAAAATAATTTAGTAGTGATTTAAAAGAGATTATCTCCTCAGGCAGGTCGTTATAATACCCTAATATAGTAATAAATAATAATATAAACATTTATCGTCGATACGATAAAAATACACTAAGAAATAAATTCAATGTAAAATCAACAAATAAATATAAAACAGAAAAGTGACGACGTCACATAAAAGCCAGTTTGTCCAAATGTGTTTTTGACACACACACACACACACACACACACACCTGAGGATCATGAGGGGTCAACATTTCCTCTATATATGTTGGGGCCAAACCCAGACGTGCTTTAAAAGTGACCAGTAAAATGTTAAAGTCACTTCTAAGACGTACGGGCAGCCAGTGGAGAGAAGATGTTGAAACCAGTTTAATCGATTAGTCGACTGACAGCTAATTTGTTTTGTTTTATTTTCATTATTTTATTACTGAACATGAACATGTGATGGACATTTGATTCAGTCAATCATGACAGCTGCTACTCAGAAATATTGAACGTGGAATCTTTCAATGGGAAGTTAAAATGTTTATTGTGGGATATTTATTTAAATATATATGTGTGTTTAACAGGCTGTATTTAAAATGTTACATGCAGATAGAATCACACTTATTACCACATCATAAGAAAACATCATCTTAAACTCTTCTCATAGAAATGAAAAGGAAAAAACAACAATTTAGTCGAGTTGAACTTAAATTAAATGAGTCAATTTATTGAACATTTTATTAGACGTTAAACATTAAACATTCCCTCTGACTCGCCTCCAAAGAATGAACTTCAGAAAGTCGATTTCCTCTCATCAGTCAGGTTTTCATGTGTTTTAAAAGCTATTTATATTGAAATTATTCCTGAGCTTCACTCCCCTATTTGAAACCCTTTACTTCCTTTACTCGTATGTGTTAAAGTTAAAGACGTATTATTATTATTATTATTATTATTAATGTCTGTTCTTCTTCTTTCTAGAACACTGATGGAGAAACGACAAACCTGAACCTCGGAGAACTGGACCTCACGACGGATGAGTTCATCTTGGATGAAGTGGACAGTAAGTTCACAAAACAACAGTTTGTTAAAATATGTTTCAAATGGCATCAGGAGCTCTAAAAGGAGATTATCAGATTATCTGTGAGGATCTACACTTTCTATACTCTTGTTTTTAATGTTGTTGTATTTTACTTTTTCTATTTGAGTTATTATTTACTTTCCTTGATTGCTGTTGTGTTCTATTTTGCACTGATGTCAGTATTATTTCTTGACACTATATCTATTTTCATTCTATTGTTCTGTTGTAATCTTAATGAAACTCCTCAGGACTAATCAAGTTCCATCTCATCTCATCTTATACGGTGACTGTTTTATCACATGTGACAGAGAGTCGTTTTATTGAAGTTACCGACCACGTGTTGTGCAGAGTTTGTGTTTGATTCGTTGTGAACGTTGTTCCTCTGCGTCTCCTGCAGTTCACATCCAGGCCAACCTGGAGGACGACCTCGTGAAGGAGGCGCTCAAAACGGTGAGAGAATATCCTGACTCGTCACGTTTGACCAGCAGCATTTAACAAAGTAATAGTGTTGTGACGATGACGCTGGTCTCCTCTCTGTGTTCAGGGCGTAGACCTGAGGCAGTACTCTAAACAGGTGGAGTCAGAGCTGCAGAGGATCGAACAGGCCTCCATCAAAGACTGTATCCTTCAGTCTGAACGTCTCCATGATGGACATTAGTCTCCTTACAGACACATATTCTACTGTTCCATCTTAACGTAGGCTTCAAAGAAAGGAATATTATATAATATATACTACTATACTATAATATTTCTATCATGGACAAAAGAAAAGACGGGCGTTCAGCCCCGAAGCGTCTGAG